CAACTGAAGACGCCATTGCTACAACGCTCCACACCACCATCTCCTACCAGGAACAACAGGGGTGTTACGCCAGGCTGCTCTCTGTTGACTTTACCTCTGCTTTTAGTACAATACTCCCAGACAGACTAATAGTAAAACTGCTGGATATCGGACTTCCTTCTACCACCGGCTGCTGGATCAGATACTTTCTCTCTGACCGTGTACAAAGAGTTCGAGTGGGTCTTCATCTTTCCTCAGCCCTCAGCCTTAACACTGGCTCTCCACAAATCTGTGTACTAAGTCCTCTACTATACACTCTGTACACAACTGACTCTGTCAGTACCCACACAGACAATGCAGTCATTAAGTTGGCAGATGATACCACTGTATCTCTGGGGGAGACCAGACAGCATACAGAGCTGAGCTTCATAGGCTACCAGATTGGTGTGCGGACAACAACTTGGACCTCAAGACCACCAAGACAAAAGAGCTGTTAGTCGACTTCAAAAGGAAGAAGTCCGTGCTGCAGCCCATGAATATCAACAGGGAGTGCGAGGAAAGGGTGTCCAGCTTCAAGTTCCTGGGTGTGCACATAGACACAGACCTCCAGTGGAGCTCAAACAACTCAGCAGTTGCAAAGAAGGCCCAACAGCACCTCAATTTTCTGAGGATCCTCAGAAAAATGGACCTGCAGAAGGAGCTGCTGATTGTCTTCTACTGTTGCTCCATTGAAAGTGTGCTGACTGCATCTCTGTGTGGTTCTCCAGCTGCATCACGGCACACAAAAAGACACTTCAGAGGGTCATTAATATGGCCTAAAAAATCATTGGACATCCTCTTCCCTCCCTGAAGGACCTGTACAGCACTCGCTGTCTCAGGAGGGAACGCACCATCCTACGGGACTGTACACACCCAGGACACCAGGTGTTTAAACTGCTACCGTTTGGCAGGAGATTCAGGTTGCTGAGGTTGCAGACAAACAGACTCAAGGACAGCTTTTACAACAGGGCAATAGCCCTAAGTAATGGTAACAGCTGACCTGATTGCCTACCTCCCTGGACTTTTTTTTTCTTATTTATTTATTTTATTAAGTAATTCCTTTCTTTTTTGCTCATACCTTTCTTGCACTTAAAAAAAATCCGCTTTAACGTTACTGTGCTGTGTTTAGTTGTGCTTAGTGCAGACAGTTTCCAATTTCGTTGTGCTATTGTATTAGGTATGACAATAAAGAGTTATCTTATCTGTCGTCTTATCTCACAATGGTGATCTTCTATGAGGCTGAACTGACAGGGAGTGAATACTGTGTCACGGCCGTTGTGGTTGACAGGCTGAGTGAAAGTGATGTGAATAATTTTTATTTACAATGACGTGAAACTTGACATTAAACAATTGAACATGAGTGAAAGGTGCAGGGAGCGTTTACAGGGGCATGAGTGAAAGAGCTATATACAACAGTGCAGGCAACAATCGGTGTGGAACCTGAGCACTAAAACAATGTGACCAGGAGCAAGCTATACACATGAGTGTGAGCTATGATCTATGGCCACGAAACACAGGTTACATGAACTTGAGGGAAATGTCAAGAGATAATTTTATAAACTTGGACATCATGAACATGATTATGTTACAGGGCTCCAGGAGTCAGTACATGGCGCTGACGTGGCAATGAGAATGACAAGCCGGAAATCAGAAACTTTGCAACAGAGGAAAGGAGAGTCACAGCGATACCAAGCTGACGTTTTGCTGAAATTGTTCCAGTGAGTTTTTCTTGCAGCTTACTTGTTTGCAGGTGGAGGTGTGTGAAGAGGGAAAGGCAAGACTGAGCAGGTCCGGGTGAGTTGGAGGTGATCCGATTCCAGAAGTCCAGGTGAGTTGGCAGAGAGGCAGGCAGGTGAGAGTGAAAATGGAGTCTGTGCTGGAGCTGATGTGGTGTAGGTATTTGAGAGAAGACTAGCGACCAGGTGAGGGGGATCTGTGGGACTGACTGGAGATGACATAGAACAAAGTAAGTAACAATACAAAAGCTACTCCAAAACATGAGTGAGCCGAGAACTGATGCTGGGTAGCAGACGATCTGGCGAAGAGTGGTAGTCAGTGCTGGTCTTAAATACTGTCTTAAATACAAGTGCGGCTCCATGGAGGAAAAGAGGTCAGGATTCCAAATTTACTCTCAAAAGTTTCCCAAAGCTAGTAAGGTTTGTGAAACTAACAATATGGGCACAAGTATTAAAACTCTACGGGTAGCACATCCATCAAAGAAAAGTTACTTGATGAACCACAAATGTATTTCATTGAACTAATACCATGTGCAGGTAAAAAGCATTGCTTGGTGATTGTTGACATGTTTCAAAAAATAAAATACTTATATTAATGGTACATTTATTTGTATAGCACTTTTCAAATCACTGGGATACAAAGTGCTTCACAGTTTGAATAAAAGCCACACACTGAAGATAAGTATGCAGACACATAACCAGACATAATCAACCATGTGATAAGGTTTCAGAGGCTCGCCTCTATATCTATGTACATGGATGTTAAAATCACGTGCAATAATTCTTTTATCTGTGCTGAGCACTAAAAAAAGTCTAAAAAGTCTGAGAAATCAGACTATAGATAATCATTTCTAGTTCTTAGTGTCAGGGTTCCTGGGTCGGTGACCCAGTGTTTTCAGTTTTGTTCATGTTCAGTTTATTTTTCCACTTCCATGTGCTCACTTCCTGCTTTTCCTGTGTCAGCTCGTCTTGTGTCATTAGCCAGATTATGTTCAGCTGTGTACTCACCGGTCTCTCATTAGCATCCTCATCAGTCTGTGTATTTAAGCCCTCTGTTTCTACTCGTTCACTGTCGTGTCGTTGATGTTAATGTCGTCTCTCCCTCTGTATGTTCAGTTAGTCAGCCATTCATCCAGTCTTTCAGCCAGCCAGCCACTCCATCGTTCCTGCTCTGTTCATTCACCCGCTCCAATAAATCCTCATCATTTCTGCACCGTGAGTCCTGCTTTTGGGTCATCTCTTCCACACCTCCACACACGACACTCCTGACACTTAGTTCCTTGTTTAATTTTGTCAGTTCTCCTTCTCATGTTTAGTCTCTCTGTGTCCTCCCTGCATTCCTTTATTTAGTCAGTTTTGTCTCCTTGTTTGTTTCTGGTCTCTGTCTCTGTATTTGTTTACTTTTGTCTTAGTGTCAAGTCTGAAACAACAAGGGTGTGCGATGTGCTCTGCGCTTTCCACCTACAGCTTCATTGGAATGAAAAGTAAAAGGGTTAAAAAGTGCCCTTCATCAACAAGAGCACGTCCAGCTCCAACTAAGTTATGTGCAGAGTGAGACTCCTTGTCACCAATGGGGTATCAGCAATGGAACACACACACCTGTTTAAAGAGTTTTTGTTTTGTTTTTTGTTTTTACTTAAATTATTGGTGTGACTTTTCTAATCATTTTTACACATGATAAACATTGAAATGACTCACCAAACATCACAAACAGCGTGTATCAGTCACTCAAGGCACTCCTTTGCTGAGAGTTTCAACTACCCTTCGCTAGTCCTGATTTTATCAAAAATAACTTGTGGCTACAGTAATCGAATTTCACAACCAATTCAGTAACAAATTACTTATGCAGAATCTGTATGGCAGCTAGAGTTATAGTGACTCTGGTACCTGATACATGACAAACCTGATCCTCATTTCCACAGTAAATATTGCAATTCCAGCTGTAATCTCCTTTGTGATAACTACTACACAAATGATGGATTTTGATAAAGCACCAAATGGCTTTCTTAACTGGTCACGTCTCTCATGAATGAACAAATCAATCTTAATCCTATATTTTGCATCCAAATATTATACTATAAAAGTGATAAAAAATGATTGAAAGGATGGAAATGTAATGGAAAATTTGTGATTCAACTCCTCGAACCTCAGCATACTATTGGTTTGTAACGTCCTTGTACAAAGACAGGGGAAAAAACAAACAAACTGGATTCAAGGTCTTGATGCATTGCATTATCAGTCTGGTGTCTACATGATGTTGAGAGTTTATTCCCTGTGTAGACAAAGATTGCATCTGGGCAATACATGTAAATGAGCTGTTATTATTGTGTTTATTTATCAGTGCTTGTATGAAGCCTTTTCAATTTATTTTACCAAAAGAAAGCGTAGCATCACTCTATGATATTCTTTGAGTGTTATGAAAAGTGCTATGAACCAGTCAATTTACCAATATTTAAAAAAAATAGATTTTAAATAATTAAATAACAAAAATGAACTCACTATATTCCAAATTTGAGTTCATGGTAGAAAAACGTGGAACTGACACACGGAGAAAAGTGAACATAAAACACTTGCAGACCTTTAAGTGCTCCATACCAAAGATTTTATTATCTTAAGCATAAATGTTTTTCCCCAATACATGCTTTACCATTGATATTAGGCCACCACATGAGTGTTCAAATATATGGTAATAAATGGATTGAGTTTTTACAATTTCTAACCATTAAAAATTATACATTCAAAAGGAAATGAATGAAACCCTAATACAACATTCAAACAACTGAAAAATGTCAATGAATTACTGAGTTGAAAGTGTGTGAACATGCAACACAAAACAGGGTCCCCATGTTATCCAACATTTACTTCTAATTGCTTCCTATCTTAGGAATATAAATCTTATGAATTCCCCTGTGCCTCCACATCTAGCAAACAGAGCAAAATCAGCCCACTCAAGACAACAAAAGCTACAGGTAAAGCCAAACCAGTTGAAGCTGGTATGAAGGAGAGCAAAATAGGATTTTCCCTATAACAGCAGGACTACTTTGGAGGCTTTAGTTGCACAGTGTTAGTAAGGAGCCAGCTATCTTTAAGCTGGAAGTAGTCCCATCAGTCACTCTCTCACGTTCAGATAGTCCAGTTAACATACACACGCATCATAAAGTTTCCATATTAGAAAGAAAACAAACAAGTTAAAATAATGGTTATAACAAAGTTATATATTTGTAGCCATTAATTCAATTTTATTTATTTAGAGCGAATTCACAACAACCAGTGTCTCAAGGCACTTGATATTGTAAGGTAAAGCCCCTACACTAGAAACACCAGCAGTCATGACCCCTACAGCAAGTGCATTCAACAACAGGAAAAAAAATCCCGTCCCATTTAACAGGAAGAAACTTCTGGGAGAACCAGGCTCAAACTGGGGCAGTCATTTGCTGAGACCAGTTGGTAATGAGGGGAAAGAGAAGAGACCAGAAAAAAGACAGGACACAAGGAAATAGTAGTGGTTTATAAAGTGAAAAGAAAAGTGAAAAGACCTTACTAGTATTTATTGTAATGTGTTGAATACTATATTAAACAATTTGCAATGAACATTTCATTTACTATCTGTACTATTAAACATTTAAACCATTACAGAGATCTTTTGCATGTTTCCATGTAGCATACAAGAAAATTAAGCAGCACAGCTCCCACCCATAACCTCATATGCACATAGTGAAGTCATAAGAATAGACCTGGAACATATCTTTGCCAAAAGTTTGCACTTTTGCCTTTCTCAGTTAAGTGAATTTCTCCTGTACTTTGTGGGATACAGGGCCAGCGGATACTGTAACAGTAGAGGACCCAAACTTACTGGTCATAGAGCCAGTGGATTGGCTGTCCTTGTAGAGAATTCTTTCAGAGCCAAAGACCTCAGCCTTCTTTGGCAGACCATTTGCATCTTGAACAAAGTTCTCTCTGACCATTAGGATTTTTTGAGATCCAGGAAGGTCTCCTGGTTGTAGAGGACCTCCCTCAACATAGGAAGCCTGATTCCCCTTTCGCACTTTCATTGACCCTGCAGGGACCTTACCCTCTACAACCTTCATGGTCTGAGAGCCAGACAAGTTTGTAGCTTGGATCAAGTTTGCATGACTCCGCTGGGCACCACTGTTATCCACCAGCACCATGGTGGGCTCCTGGGCTTGTCCACTGGACAAGAGAGTGTTTCCCTGAACAAATACTCCTTGGGCAGGTCCAGATTGCGTGTTGTTAACCAGTATCAGGCCTTGAAGGTTGGTGGTTGGTGCTTCAGCCAGGATCATAGTGTTCTGAACTTGTGGTTGGACTACGTAATGCATTGGCTGCAACACAGGAGTGGTTGTGTAGTAGACAGGCTGCTGTTGCTGTATTAGGACCATCTGGCCTTGATTTGCTAACCCTCTTGTCATTGTATTCATCCCTTCCCTCACTGCAGTTGTACTTTCCTTTGCCATTTCAGAATGCTTGGTTGTCTTCATGACCATACTCTGCTCCACTTTGGGCATGGTTGGCTCCAGTTTGGGTGGAGGGGACAGTTTTTGTACACTCACTGAACTTGAAACTGAGGTTGGAGGATTGTTATAGACATTAGACACAGGAGGTGGCACTTGTTTGTCATCATAAGAAATTTTCTCGCCTCTGCACACCTCCGCGAGAGTCTTGAATTTTGGTCCAAGGTTATCAAGAAACTGAAGATCATTGTCTGACTCCAAAAGGCTACAGCAGCCTACTGAGCCAGCAGAGGACCCTTGGCCCTCATAATCATACACCAACAAACCATCTTTCACGCCAAGGTTATCATTTCCATCAGTGACTTTCTGTTGAAGTAAAAAGGACACCATTATTCAGATAGTATTTTTCATGTCAACTCTTGGTATGTGCAAGGAATTTTTATGAACAACTAAATACGTTTTCAGCCTTAAGGGCTAATCAAAACACGTCCCTGTAATTAATTCAAATCTCTGCTTTGCTTTTCATTAGCTACTGAACCTTTCCAACTCATGAGATTTCTTACCTGATCGTAATATTGCCTCAAAAAGTGGTCTGGCAGAGCCATCCCATCATAAAGTCCTACACCTCCCAACGATTCTCTTGTCTCAGTCTCAGAGTAGAAACCACTTGGATCCTGTTGGTTCATGCCCCAAATTTCTTTTCTGTAACTACCTTGGTAGTTAGCCCCGTTCAGTCTATTAATGGATCCAACAGATTGTGCGAAATCAAAACTGCCCAACGCATCCATTGCTACAGGTTTTTGAGCCATGGCTACATTTAAGACATCTCCATCCAGTTGTGTTGGCAAGTTCAGTAGTGGCACGTCCTATAATTGCGCCAAAAATGTACATGTTAGTACAAAGTTAAAAATCACTTTGACACAACTTTCATGTAGGCATCACCACATTAGCCAATATTCTTCAGTGCAGTGAAGAAAATACAATTCTCACCGTGTTCTCTCCCTGACGTTCAGTATGGTAGTTGATGAGATGTGACTTTGTATCAAATGGCATCTCAGTAAAGAGGTCTGGGAAGGTTGCAGCACCTCCACATTTGCAGAAGAGTAGCAACAACGGAATCACTGTAAAACCAAGTTTTAATTAACCTTAAATGTAAGGTATGAGGGTGCAGTAATCCTTCAAGGAAGAAGCTATAATTTATATACACAATAAAGTAACAATAAATGTATCATAGTCTTACATCTGTCAGCAGCAGCTGTTTATTTAAAAAACTTTAAGGTGGTTTCCCTCTTCTCTTAATTATCCAAAACCAAAACCAATACATTATGGCAATTAGGATGAATTAACACTTACACAACAAGAGTAATAGGCCCAGGAGTAACAGCCCAATGCCTGCAGGTCCCAACTTCGCTTGTTTGCTTGGCTGACCCTTGGCGCCTTTTTTTCCACACATGATTCCATCCTCACAGGTGCAAACTTCAACCTTGACTTTCTGTGGATCTTGACACATGTGCCCCTGCTGATCCTTCACCAAAAATTCCACCTCATAAATACCAGGCCAAAGAGACTCCCGAGACCGCAAGATAGCTGCAGTGTCTGTCAGAAAACAGAAAAATATGTGAAACAAAATGAACATGAATTAGATTATATAATTTCTGTAGAAATTGTGGTGGGATTGTTGCTACTGCCTTAATAAAATTCAATTCAATTTTAATTATCCAACAGTCGCCTCAAGTTGCTTTATATTGTAAGATAGATCCTACAATAATACAACAGAGAAAATGCCAACAATCATATGACCCTCTGAGCAAGCGCTTTGTCATGAGTGGGAAGGAAAAACTCCCTTTTAACAGGAAGAAACCTCCAGCGGAACCAGGCTCAGGGAGCGGTGACCATCTACTGTCACTAATTGGGGTGAGGGTAAGAAGACAGAAAAAAAGACATGCTGTGAAAGAAAGAAAGAGATTAATAACAAGTATGAGTCAATTCAGAGAGGCCTATTAACACATAATGAGTGACAAAGGTGACTGAAGAAGAAATCAATGCATCATGGGAATTCCCCAGCAGCCTAAGCCTAATGCAGCAAAACTAAGGGAGGATTCAGGGTCACCTGATACAGCCGTAACTATATGCTTTAACAAAAAAGGTACTGTACTTGATCTGGGGTTTGCTGCTTAGTTAGCTAAAACAAATCTCAAAGTAGCCAGCATATTAGGCTACAATTGTACTGTGCCTAATAACATGTCTAATAAAGTTGGTAGGGGTGTAGCTGATGATGTAGCCAGGTACACAGGTGCACCTTATATAGTACATGGTGTGGTACTTATACAGCTGTGGTGGCAGGGAAGGGTTTTTGGAGCTCCAACATGTGAGAGGTGAAGCTGTGGATTCAGGAGAAGTAGTGGAGGAGGACTGGGTGGCAGTCTTTATTTTCATGACTATTTACATTGTAGATTCTCACTGAAGGTATCAAAACCATGAATGAACACATATGGAATCATGTAGTAAACAAAAAAGAGTGAAACAACTCAAAACATGTTTTATATTTTTGATTCTTTAAAATAGCTACCCTTTACTTTGCACACTTTACATTCTCTCAATGAACTTCATGAGGAAGTCACCTGAAACCGTTTTCCAACAGTACTGAAGGTGTGCCCCAGAGAGACACTTGTTGGCCCTTGTGCCTTTTCATTCCAAAACATCTAACTGGGTTCAGGTCAGGTGACTGTGGCCATCTTGTGTGGCACTTCATCAATCTCCTTCTTGGTCAAATAGCTCTCATACAGCCTGGAGGTGTGTTTTGAGTCATTTTTCTTTTGAAAAATAAATGATGGTCCAACTAACTCCATACTGGTTCAGTGTGTCTGCTTGTTGCTGTTCCTGAGTGGTGGTTTCTTAGCAGCTATTTGACCATAAAGGCCTGATTCATGCAGTCTCCTCTGAATAGTTGATGTAGAGACTGACTCTCTGCTGGAACTCTATGGGGCATTTACCTGGGCTCCAGTCTGAGGTGCTGTTAACTTGCAATTTCTGAGGCTGGTGACTCAGATTAATTTATCCTGAGCAGCAGAGGTGACTCTTGGGCTTCCTTTTCTCATGTGAGACAGTTTTTTTCATAGCGCTTGATGGTTTTTGCCACTGCACTTGGGATACACTGGGATACATTCAAAGTTTTAGCAATTTTCCAGACTGACTAACCTTTAGTCCATAAGTAATGATGGATTGTCATTTTTCTTTTCTTAGCTGGTTGGTTCTTGCCATAATAGGGATTCTAACAGTTGTCAAATAGGGCTGTCAGCTGTGTACAAACCTGATTTCTGCACAACATAACTGATGGTCCCAACCCCATCAAGAAGGAAAGAAACTCCACAAATAAACCCTGACAAGATACACCTGTGAAGTAAAAACCATTTCAGGTGACTACATCATGAAGCTCACTGAGAGCTGTGTTGTTGTTTTTTTTAACAATTTTTCCTTTGCTAAATAATTCCGTAGTGTGTATTATATAAAAAAATATTCCCGGCTCGCCCCTGCAGGCAGTCTTTATCCTCCTAGCTTGGGTCCTCTACCAGAGGCCTGGGAGCTTGAGGGTTCTGCGCTGTTCCTAGGACTGTGCTCTTCTGGACAGAGATCTCAGATGTTGTTCCTGGGATCTGCTGGAGCCACTCGCCTAGCTTGGGGGTCGCTGCACTGAGCACTCCAATTACCACTGGGACCACTGTTACCTTCACTCTCCACATCGTCCCGAGCTCTTCCCTGAGCCACTGGCACTTCTCCAGCTTCTTGTGTCTCTTGTTCCTGATGCTCCTGTCAGTTGGTATTTGTTACGTCTATCACTACAGCCGTCTTCTTCTGATTGCCCGCCACTACTATGTCTGGTTGTTTAGCCATCACCATTTTGTCCATCTGTATCTGGAAGTCCCACAGGACTTCTTAGCTCGGTCATTCTCGACCTCCCATTTTGACCTCAGGACTTTCAGGCCATAGTCGGCACAGATGTTCCTGTATACTGTGCTAGTCACTTGGTTATAGTGTTCCATGTATGCCCTGCCTGCTAGCATCTTGCACCCGGCTGTTATGTGCTGGACTCAGGGGCACCTTTACACATCCTACACGTCGGGTCTTACCCGGTGTGATAGACCCCAGCCTCTATGGATCTTGTGCTCAGAGCTTGTTCTTCTGCTGCCATGATTAGTGCCTCTGTGCTGTCTTTCAGTCCAGTTTTGTCCAGTCACTGGTAGGATTTCTGAATGTCAGCCACTTCCTATATCTGCCGGTGCTACATACTGTACAGGGGCCTGTCCTTCCATGATGGTTAGTCCTCCTTCTTGGGTTTGTGCTGCCTGAGGTATTCACACGCGGTTGATCATGATCATCTTCCTGATGTACTGGTGGACATATGTTGTCTCAATATGGAATGTTGTACTGACACTCACTAGTCCCCTGGTTCCTTTCTTCCGCATAGCACACAGTCTCAGGGTGCTGGACTTGTGGTGAAACCCTCCGTGCATGGTCAGGAACTGCCTGCTCTTGACGTCAGTGACTTCTATCTCCTCCTGTGGCCAGCTTATTGTCCCAGCAAGGTACTTGATTACAGGCAGGGCGAAGATGTTGATGGCCCGGATCTTGTTCTTACTGTTCAGTTGACTCCTCAGGACTTGCCTGACTCTTTGCAGGTACTTGGTGGTTGCAGCTTTCTTAGTGGCCTCTTCATGGTTCCCATTTGCCTGTGAGATTTGAAGGTGCTTGTAGCTGTCCTTAATGTCTGCAATGTTGCCTTCTGGTAGTTTGATCCCCTCAGTTCTGACTACCTTCCCTCTCCTTTTTATCATCCAACTATATTTCTCCAGTCCGAACGACATTCCAATGTCGCTGTTGTACATCCTGGTGATGTGGGTCAGTGAATCAATGTCTCATTCGCTCTTGGTGAACAGCTACATCTATGTAAATGAGGTCGCTGACAATTGCTTCATTCTGTAGTTGGTATCTGTAGCCAGTCTTGTCAGCGAGGGGTCAATCAAAGTTCCAAACATGAACTCAGAGTAGCTCCACCGTTGTTGATCCGTATTGTTGATCACTTCAAAAATTAGTTGGGGCAAACATTTTCAGGAGGTAAGTGGGAAGATTTCTCCAAGTGGTGAAGACGGCTGCACAAAGGGCATCTACTGTCTGGAACTGTTGTCCATTTTTTTAAAAATTCCTTTGCCATCCATCCCCCCAAATTTGTAATTGGATTTAGATTAGGGGAACATGCAGGATGGTCCAAAAGAGTGATGTTATTCTCCTTGAAGAAGTCCCTTGTCCTGCGGGCATTGCGTACTGCAGCATTGTCCTGTTGAAAAACATAGTCGTTAACACACAGACGAGGGCTCTCAATCATGAGTGATGGTCTCTGCAACATCTGGACATAGCCAGCGGCCGTTTGACGCCCCTGCACCTCCTGAAGCGCCATTGTTCCACCAAAGGAAAAAGCACCCGAGACCATTATGACGTCCCCTCCACTGTGGCGCGTAGAGAACATCTCAGGTGGCATCTGCTTGTCATGCCAGTAACGTTGGGGTCTTCCACTTGACTTTTTTGTTCCACAATCCTTAGGATCATTTAAGAAATTCCAAATGACTGTCTTATTGTGCCCCACCTCAGCAGTGATGGTGTGCTGCGAGAGACCATACTTGTGCAGTTCAACAACCCAACCACGTTCAAATTGGGAAAAGTTTTTTTTGCCTTTGACGTCAGAAGGTCATGACAGTGTGACCAAAAAAATGTTTTGTCTCACTCCCATTTCTTCTTGTAGCATGTTGAAAGCTCTACATTTTACCTTGTTAAGATCCAACCATGCAAAATATGATTTTTTGCCATTTTTTCAAGTGGTCTTAAACTTTTGATCTGGACTGTGTATATATGTATATACATATACAGAAGTAAAAAGGAATCACGCAAATTGAAGTGAAATATAGTGAACTAATGTGATAACTGTAATAAAGTAGCTTTTGCTAGAAAGTGGTCAAAACTTTTATGTGAGAGGTCACAGGGAGAAGGTGAGACGATACTTGGATGTCACATCAAGTGACTGGATGCAAATATTGGCCATGTGAAGATGGAAAGGTGGAGGGAAGAGGATGTATAAAACTCTTTGCAGGTAACCATTAGCCTTTATTTCTTTGTAGTTTTGTCATAGCGAGCAGAAGATCCTCTATAGCCAGAGTGTCTTCTCTTTCTTCCACTAAAACTTCAATAAAACCAATAGATATACAGCAACAATTTAGCTTTGATTATTTAAGATTTTTACTTTTTTCTAAAATTTAAATTGATTTAATTATGTGATTATTATTAACTGATTGAGCCATTTGCTTTTCCCTTGCTAAATCACTTAAATAAAGCACCGTATCTGCAATTAAAGTTCATTTTGTTTATTTAAATTTTTTTTTGAAAACAGTTCGTCACATAGGTTTGTTGTGGTACTGTTTTGAAAGTGACCAATCACATTTGAGCCATCCTTCCTTGGAGTCTATTTCTTAACTGTAAAAAGTCAGATAAATTTGGACAAGAAGAAGTTAACACAGAGAAGAGAGCAAGTACACACTCATCTTCTTTGGCCAGTCGGTGGTTCAGTCTCTGAATGTACCACACTCATGATATTGTGGTGATGTTTTCTACTCACCATTAAGATGCTCCACTTGCCATTTTCCCTTAGTGCCTTCTGGGAGGATCTCAAACACAAAAGGAGGTCCATTGGGAAATGCATCCTCATCATTAGCGTTCACTATAACAGCATCCACTGTTGTGCACATAGTCTCCATGTTACTTGTCAAGATGGGGCAGTGGTCATTAAAATCCTCCACTTGGATGGCTATGGTGCCAGTGGCTGTTTTATCAGGTGTGTCTGGTAAATTAAAAAAAAAAAAGAAATAAAAAGCAAGAATTTAACATTTTTCCTTTGATTATGTCCATTTTGTCAGAGATAAGTTCAAGAACTATTTGCTTTACTGTTACTATGTTTGGACAAAAAGTAAAACTAATATTGATTTTGTTTATTTACATGAATCTTACTCCTGAATAGCCATTTTGTTTTTATTCATGACAAGTCGGCATTATACAGACCGTACAGATGTATTTAGCCAGCAATGTGATGCACTTGTAGTTATGTTGCATTAGGTTTTTAATCATGCATCAATACCCTGACAGTAAATAATAATTTTTTCGTCTACATAATATCAGGCAATTTGTTTACAATATTATGTTTAGTAAAAACTATCACCGGTTGTGTTACATTTATGTTTTTTAATTTCACAGTAAAGGAAGTTGGCTTGACTAATAAGTGAGAAATTCCCAGGGGTTGCAATTCCAAAGCTACTTTTCAAGGGTACTCCCCTTACGTAAATAATTTTTGAAGTGTCGGCATTTATACAGTAAAGCAGCATACCTTCTGAAACGCAGAGTATCTTGGCAAAATATGTCCCATTGACCAAGTGTTGAGATTCCCTGTCAGGCATCTTGTTCAGTTTGATCTCAGCTGTGACTGGGTCAATAGTTAGCCAGTTGTTAGGGTCGAATCCCTTAATATACCTACAGCAGAAATAAGCTATATTGTTATTACGGTGAATGAAAGGTGAAATTGACACTGTAGTTTAGTTTTAGTGGCTTTAATGTGCACTTATTTGTATATGCACTGACCTGACATTTTGAGCGGGTTTCCTAGTGTCTCCATCTATTGCAGGGTAGCTGGCAATAACATCTTTAATGTTGAAGGAGGTGCTTCCCTCTGAGACATGAATGGCTTTAACTTTGGGATCAAACTTTGCCCCTTCAGGCTGGTTCTTCACATTGATTTTGATAGGATAGGTTTTAAAGGGTGTCCCACCAGAAATCCCAGCAGCTCCAGTTGCACCCCCTGCTCCTCCTCCTCCCCCTGCTCCTCCCCCCCCTCCTCCAATAGTTATTCCAGCACTTGTCCCAGATCCATATGGCTGAGCCTTGTTCCTCACAGATAGTCCAAGTTCAATGTCTTTTACATCTTCATAGTCCACAGCCTACACAGATGACAGACAGAAACAAAGATTATCTGTTACAATTCATCATAATAATGACAGATGTTTGCATTTATTAATGGTCTTCCTGAGTTAAATGAAAACAATTAATCATTAATTATTCACAAACTTACTGCCAATTAGTACATGAGGTTAAAGAAAATGTCAAAGATATACAGAAATTCTATTCATAATTATATGGACAAAATTTTAGGCAGACCCAAGAACAGTCAGATAAGAGATGATGATCTCATGGGCATGCACTACTTAACTAACCGAAAAAATTAAACTATTTCACAATATAAAACATGTATTTGTTTTTCTGGATAGTACAGTTTGCCGGACAATTTGATCAAACGGACACTGGACTATTCCACCAGATTTGGTGTTTAAAATGCATATGCTCTGAGATATCAAGATTTCTATTTGCATTGTTTTTATGCTGTATTAAAGACTAGGATTAATAATAACAATAGTAATAACAGTAATAATAATAATAATAATAATACCGTAATTGTCGGGCTATAAGCCGCTACTTTTTGCACAAGCTTTGAACCCTGCGGCTTTTAGTCAGGTGCGGCTTTTCTATGGATTGTCCATGATTTTTGTCATATCGTAAGACGATTTGTTTTGTTTGTTCCGCTGTTGTACAGCACTACGTTGCCTGGCGGAAGGGCATGTGATCAGACACACAGTATCGGGGTTCAAGAGTGGTATCTTAAACTTTTGATCTGGACTGTGTATATATGTATATACATATACAGAAGTAAAAAGGAATCACGCAAATTGAAGTGAAATATAGTGAACTAATGTGATAACTGTAATAAAGTAGCTTTTGCTAGAAAGTGGTCAAAACTTTTATGTGAGAGGTCACAGGGAGAAGGTGAGACGATACTTGGATGTCACATCAAGTGACTGGATGCAAATATTGGCCATGTGAAGATGGAAAGGTGGAGGGAAGAGGATGTATAAAACTCTTTGCAGGTAACCATTAGCCTTTATTTCTTTGTAGTTTTGTCATAGCGAGCAGAAGATCCTCTATAGCCAGAGTGTCTTCTCTTTCTTCCACTAAAACTTCAATAAAACCAATAGATATACAGCAACAATTTAGCTTTGATTATTTAAGATTTTTACTTTTTTCTAAAATTTAAATTGATTTAATTATGTGATTATTATTAACTGATTGAGCCATTTGCTTTTCCCTTGCTAAATCACTTAAATAAAGCACCGTATCTGCAATTAAAGTTCATTTTGTTTATTTAAATTTTTTTTTGAAAACAGTTCGTCACATAGGTTTGTTGTGGTACTGTTTTGAAAGTGACCAATCACATTTGAGCCATCCTTCCTTGGAGTCTATTTCTTAACTGTAAAAAGTCAGATAAATTTGGACAAGAAGAAGTTAACACAGAGAAGAGAGCAAGTACACA